TATTTTTGTATTGTTAGGTTGTATTAAATTAAAACATGAGTGTTATTTTATTTCATATCTGGCCATTTATATTTTATGTTCATTTGGGAAATGAATTCTAACCTATTATATATGTGATTTTAATTATATTTAAATGTAATTTACCTCGACCTGCACCTGTAACTAAAATCTTTTTGGCTTGCAAAGATATCTCCATTTCTTTTCTTGTTTTTTGTACTTCTCAGCACAAACTGAAACCTACCCAAACTAACCTTTCCACAAAACTATGATTAAAAAGCAGGGAAAATGATTTTTTTAAAATGACTGTTTATGTCAATTATTGAAATGAATTCGATTAGATGATGGTGAAATGTCTAAAAATATAATTACACTTAGATAATGCTTATCTCGTTTTAATTATTATTGTTCTATGTTGTGATGGTTTAATATTTTTCTTATTATTACCGATCTGATCTACAACTTTATGTTAAATACTATTCTGAATAGAAGTAATATTTATATTAATCATAAAATTTTTAAAAAATGTACTGTAATAAAAGTACTATGGAAACATAACAACTTTCACTTCAATATTGACTAAAAATCGCTTGATTGGGGATGTAGTTGTTTGTGAGTCAGCTGGCTGGGTTTATTCAGGTAGAATGCATTAAACCACGGAAGGGGGAGGGGGAGAGGGGATAGATTCATCAATCTAGAGCTGGAATTATTTATTATTTAATTTACGAAAAATTGAAAATTAATAGAATTAAGTTGAATTTATCTATATAGGTAAGTATTTACTTCTTCAAATGGTGGAGACTGGGATTCATAGTATAAAGTCGACGGCCTTTCTGAGATCCCCGGACCTCCGTAGAACTTCATCGCCAAGCCAGTTGGCCAAATTTTCTTTCTGATGTCCTCCAGCTCAGGACATGTCTGAAGGATTTGCTCTGTATCCTGGTAGAATGTTCTACAACTACAGAATGGGTTTTCTCCAATTTTAAATTTCTTAAAGAGGTGTGCCCTCATCCTGTTCTGAGTCTAAAGAGTAAAACTTGGTCTTTCCTGCTGGAACTATAATAATCGTCTTGAGAATTGTAATGTGGATGGTCATCATTCCACCTTTGTCGCAGCCCCATTTATAGGAATTTCCTTCGAAAGAGTATATTTAATTATAAATAAAAATACTAAATGTAAAATATAAAATCTATTGCGGCCTCCATCATCACTTCTTAATCTTATTGCGGCCTCTAATGATAAGAAGGTTGCCCAACTTTGCATTAAACAATAATAAACCAAAAATATGTTTAAAACGCTTCATATGTAAAAATACTGCATCGATTTTTAATGTACGTTTCCGTATCTGTCCAACATATACCACCTGCATGGTTTCTAGCTTTACAGGAATCCTGATCGAATGCGCAGACCTTTTATGTTCTTCTACCTAAAAAGATGTTTATTCCTTTCCGTATTGTTCGCGTCATCCTGAACTATCAAACACAAGTACAATTTAATTATCCACTTTCTAATCGCTTAACAAATATTAAATGATCACGACTGAAATCGATATATTTTGGTTTCGTAAATTCATTTTATTTAACAACTTGAATCAGATAATAAGTAATAACCCACATCGGCTATGAAAATTAGTTTGATTTTTTTTTTTTTAATCCTGTTTATTAACATCCTTGAGTTCCGCCTAATGGGCTACTACTACAGCATTTGAATAACTACATGGAGTATGGATAGCTTCCATACTTGAAATAATATGACAACTCTTCTATTGGTTTCTTATCTATTAAGCGACAAGATATAAACAATTATTTATGAATTCATAAAAAATAAAAAAATTGTAATTAAAAAAACCCGACTACTGAAATTAGTAAATTCTATCCATCGTAAGAAAATGGACTTCCATATGTACTTCAACATCTTGGTAAATTGATAGAGAAGTTGATATTTATGATTTCGGTTTATTATTTTCAATAATGAACTATTTTGATCGACCAAAAACTTCAAAAACTTAACCCTCTCTAAAAATTTGAGGTTTTACGTTTCAGGATACGTGAAATTCGAAAAACAAATAAATTTTTTTAGTCCGTCCGCCGTCCGCAATACGCACGTTTTCTCCGAAACTACTAGACCGATTTTTTTTCAAATTTGGATAAAAAATCAGAATGCACTCGAGAATGATCCTGCTTCATCGGCATTACTATCCGCCTTTTACTTTCTGTAGCGCCTAAATGAATGTACCTATTTCAATGAAACTTCGCTAAAGTCATTTTCTCGGCGCCCTTTAAATTTATTTGTATAACATAATTCAACTAAAAGGAGCTGGAAAAAAAGTTACGATGGATGGTAAAATTGGATTCCGAATAACTCAAGAAGTATATCCTTTTTTGTCAATATATAGTTTTTGAACGTTTTTGAAAAATTTCCTAAAAACAAAAAAAAAATCATTAAAATCGGACAATAATTAGGAGTGTCGGACAATAATGTGTTCTACTGCAAATGTTATTTCCTTTGTTTTGGATTTTGAATTTTGTATGTGTTACAGAAGTAATGCTGTTTTTTTTAGCATATTACTGGTGATTAAAAAAAATGTTTAGTCCAATGATTTTAATCACCTTTTATTTATTTTTCTTTGTAACTAGGATGGTAATGTTACTTTAGTTGTATAAATGACCCATGTAACAGTGCATGTCAACACCCGACTACCTCACCATGTTTAAATATTCCTATATGTCAATTTTCCAGTCAACTACCAATATATTTAGTAGATATGGGAGTAAATTCTATAGATAGAATCTCCTAATTAAAGTACTATATATATTATTTTTAGTTCAATTTTGTTTTTTTTACGTTATTAGTTTTGAAAATATAAAAAAGTCATTTTTATAACATATGATCAAATAGAATCATTTCTGATAAATAAATAAATTTATAATCGAGATACCTAAACTATAATAAACTATTTTTCAGTATTTTGAGTTGAAATAGTTTCAAAACATTAACGGTATTTAAATGAGTAATTACAGACATCAATGTTAAAAATCGACCATGCCATCCGCTCAAAAAATCGCTCCGTACCTTTTAGGAGATAGAATAAACGCACTTTTCACAGTAATTTTTCTTGATCTGAAATTCTTTCAATCAATCACGGAATCTCACCGATTAATTTGAGATATCAAACGTAAAAATCGTTCCAGACGTACGCTCTAAAAATCATTAAACACAGTTTAGTTTCTCTCAGACACAGTACAAATGCAGGTTTTTATGTCATTTAGAACGGTGCCCCTGATCTAACCAGAAAAAAAAATGGTACGAACGATATTTTTGATAATCACCTTTTATTAAAATGGGTAACAGTTATTTATATTAGTGATAAACATTCACATTCATAAATTAGTAATTAGCAAGCAGTAGCTCCTCCATCTACAGGAAGTATCGCTCCATTAATCATTCTGGAATGATCGCTAAGTAAGTACATTATTGCGTTAACGACTTCATGGATCTCTGAAAAATAGAAGAAGAAAATTAATAACAGTATCCTAGCATATAATAAAAATGTTTTAAAATTAATTATATGAAAAGTTATAATATTAAATATTAATATTAAAATTAACCTCAAGTTCGTTTTCATGTTACTCCTTTCTTTTAATCTCATTTATGATTCAACAGTTTCATTCCAATGATATTCATTCTTCATCCCTGAGATTAGATTAGTAAATGGTAAAAGTACAATAGAGTATATATTACATCTCCCCTCTTTTTGTTTTCGACAATTAATCACCATGTACAATATTATTTTTTAATATATTTTATAATTTAGTTTTCAAATATTCTTATATGAGGTAACATGGAGAAAATTATATATAGATCAAAATTGTATAGGTATAATACTAATATATACTCTGATGGTTCGAAATCCGATGATGCTACGGCTTATTCGTTTGTTACTCAAAACTCCACGCATAAAATAAAATTACATAGACTGAACGGCATATACACAGCGGAACTTCACGCAATATCTTCAGCCTTCCACTTCTGTCTGTCAATAACTCCAGCTTCGATAATCTTGATAATCGACTCCTTGAGTCCATTAAAGGGTTTAAATGATATGTACTCAAAACATCCTGTTATCCATAAAATACAGAAATATCTTCACACTCTGGAAAATTTAGGTAAATCGGTTTGTTTTATATGGGTTCCCAGTCACGTGGGTATAGTTAGTAATGAGCTTGCGGATACGGCAGCCAAACAGGTACTCGCGCTTCCACGCCGAGGTACTCCTATCTTGACCCCTCCAGAAATGAGTTTTCCTCTCAAAAAATAAATGTTGGATAGTTGGCAGTCTATGTGGAACGAAAGCCCGCCTAGCAAATTAAAAGTTGTTAAAAAATCAGATTGCCCTGGATCACATCAAACCGCCCTAATCGTAGAGAGGAAGTCGCTGTGACCAGGTTAAGAATCGGACACACGAACCTAACTCATGTACATCTCATCACTAAGCAGCCGCCACCAAATTGTCAGCATTGGAATAGCCTTCTCACAGTCAACTATATTTTCCAAGAATGCACTTATTATACTTCAAGCCTAAATCGATTATCTCTAAAACCGAATATATCAGCAGTATTAAACAACAACGAATCAAACATAGGAACCTTGATAAAATTTCTTAAAATCCATAGACTATTAAATAAAATATAAAAATAGATATAATTTGTATTTTATTGTTCTTTTTGTGCATTTATTTCATTTTTATATGATTTTAAATATCTTTTTCATATACCACTATATCTATCTATTATTAATTTTTGATTGTTCATTTTTTTTTTCTGTTTCTTCTCTAAAGAGTTTACAAACATAACTGACTCATAGGCGTTGATGACCTTGGAGTTTTTCGCCTTAAAGCCTAAACAAACAAACAAACAAACTAATTATACTACCAGCAAATCTGTTAAGAGGGATTCGGTTGAGCATAAGTTCTGCTCTTTCGGGATCACAACAGATCAGTTTACCCCTTTCCGTCAATACGATCGTGGGGTTGACGCAATTAACTCTGATGCAATATTGGCTACCCAGCTCCAAAGCCATCACTTTGCTAACCATATCCAAAGCTCCTTTTGTGCCGCCGTAGACAGCGTGGTCTTTGAGTGCAATCTGAAATTTGAAATAAACATTATGGCCATCTCATGACCTTCTTCGACCACTATCTAGCCACTATAAGTATACCATTAGTATACATTATTATACAGGAGCTTGGTACATTATATCCAACTCACAAAACAAACCTTTGCAAATAAAAATTAATTGTAACCAAACTAAGCATGGAAGTTCATCTTCAGGTGATACTGAAACTCTTACTACGCTGCCAATTAATTTCATGAAATAATAAATAACATCACGATAGAAGCATCCATTAAATCTATGATAAATTTTTGGTTTTAACCATTTTCTTTGTCTTATAGACGACAATATGTACATTTCTGGCTGACAAAAAATCTTATTAATGATTGTCAGTAATATGATATGCATATATCTCTCATTTTTATAAGATTTGAAAGTGTTAAGAACAATATTTCTCTTTAAATTACTATATCAAATGTCGGTTATCGGAAACTTAGTGGATATCTTAGTGGATAGAAAATCTAGCAAACGTTAAAAATCTTTAGTAATTGTACAATAATGGAGATTCGGTACAGCCTAGTACAGAGAGTCCTTTTGAATTAAAAGTAATTCGTTTTGATATTTTGTGAGGAGATAATAGAATTTGAACTTTTTTTTTTATTCGTATTTATTTAATTTTTATTAAGTAGGAATCCCGGAAGGGACAGTTGGTGTTTATATGAGGATTTAGATTTAATATTAGTATAAACAGTGGTGCGAAAAAGTCTTTTAACAAACTAACTTTTTATAAAAAAATTTTCGATTTAAAGATATTTTCATCTTTTTAATTGTAAAATTATTCAACCTTGCAGGTATTGTAGAATTAATATATATTTAAAATGACATTATTTTTCAATTAACAATCATCCAAGGAACCGATGTGTTGACGGTTTTTCATCCTCTGAATAATGCTACTACCTCATGGTTTAAATATCACTACTTTGTTATCCACTTCAATGTTTCGAGCCACGCTGCAAAAGCCTGTAAGAACAAAATCTAAAGATCTTCAGGAGACGAAAGAACTGCATAATTTTTACTTTATGAACTTTATATTTTCTTTTCAATTGTTTTTGCTGGTGCAGGACAAAGATGAATTGAACAATGTAACTTTTTTTTTCATATTTCTGCAAAATAGTCTTTTAGAGCCATTTTCAAAACTTACAAGAATTTACTTTTATCTTGTATTTTCTATATTAGAAAATAGTTATTAGTTAGGTAAAATCAATTAACTACAGTAGGGCCAATAAATTTCTTAATAATAATCAACCGATGACAGAAGGAACAAATCCAGTTTGCAAAAAGTTGAGGAAGCATTCAATCCTACATAGGTAAGAGGACCTCCTGGCTGACCATTTTAGCTATCAAGTAAGTTCATTAGTTACTATCCTATTTTTCTTTCTTTGCAGTAGTCTTTCGAGTTTCAAAGAATTTCAAAATGTTTTATAAAAGAAATTTCCGCTTTATAGCTGCTAATTGATATTTACCAGGTACATAAATTGAGAGCCATAGTAGGTTATTATCTCCGTTGAAGTTTGTAAAGATCAGTGCCTTTGGGGTGCCTGGTTGTACAACTTGAATTTTATGAGGCCTATAAGTACCCATCTTCGATATATTGGCTCAAGATAGAATATCCTAGTATTTTATTAACAATAATGACGCCTTTAATTAACATTAATGAAGATTGGTTGCTTCCGATATTCTAGTTACTTTACTTTTGGTTTTACATTGATGTAACATGTAATTTAATAAAAATCATTAGAGCAGGTGTGAAAAAAAAAATATTCGTCCTCAGAATGGAAATTTTCAAACATTTTTAACATTATGAAACAAATTTATTTCCTTAGCGGTCTGCCTGTAAACAAAACCACGTGGTAGCCCATAACAGCTACTAGTGTTAATACTATAAAAAAAATTATATTGTTTGGTTGATATCTAGATGGTCCTAAATCAATTTCATCAAATTCCATCGGCTTCTTTACTTAAGTATCTTTCTATACAAGCGAAATTTTCCACTGCTCGTCTGATCTGGGCTAAAGCAAAGAGAATTTAGATGTTACATATGCAAATGGTACAGATTTTTTTTTTTTAAATTCTATTAACCACAGTTGGAAACATAGATGGGCATAATCATAATCAACGATTATGATTACGATTACGATTACGAATATAATCAAAAAGATCACAATTATTTGATTACACGATTGTAATCGTAATCACGGTTTTTGATTTTGATTATAATCGTGTAATCAAGTAATCGTAATTATGTAATTATAATCATTGTAATCAAAATCACTGATATCGTAATCGTGTAATCATAATCGCGTAATCGTAATCAAAAAATCAAATACACACGATTTTCCTATTTTTAGAGAGAGGCTTAAAGGAAAACAAGAATAAAACATTTTCTATTTTCTTTAGCTGCCGGGAGTACCTTCTTTGTAAATAACGTCGGTTAACATTTAATATTTTCCGGATTTCCATTCACTTTTCTTCTTTTATCATGTGGATCGATGCTCGGTTTTTCACCGTTCCAATATTTTTCCGGCTATATTGATGTAGGCGAAAATGGAGAATTAGTGTAGAAATTTTTCCGAATTTCCACTCGTTTTTCCTCTTTTATCTCGTGTATGCATGCTAGGTTTTTCTCCACTCCAACAGTTTGCCGACTATGTAGATGTAGGCTAAAATAGAGAATTAATGCAGAAAATTTTCCGGATTTCTATTTGCTTTCCCTCTTTTATCTCGTGAATGGAGTCTCAGTTTTTCACCGTTCTAACCATTTTATAACTGTTTAGAGGAAAGCCAATGGAAACGGTAGTGGTACAAATTTTCATTTACTTTTCCTCTTTTATCTCGAAAATGAAGGATCAGGTTTTTCACCATTCCAACAGTTTCCCGGCTATGTGGTGGTAGGCAAAAACGGAGAAATGGTGAAAAAAAATTTCCGAATTTCCATTCGCTTTTCCCATTTTATCTCGTGAATGGATGCTCGGTTTTTCACCAATACATTTCCGACTATATAGATGTAGAAAAAAATGGAGAAATAGTGTAGAAAATTTTCCGAATTTTCATTCGCTTTTCCTTTTATCTAAATCTCTAAATCTTTTATCTTAGGAAAAGTGAATGAAAATTGGAAAATTTTCTTCAAAATTTTCCCATTAAATGGTTATAATAAATTAAATGGTTGGAACGGTGAAAAACCGATACTCTATTCGCGAGATAAAAGAGGAAACGCGAATGAAAATTCAAAAAATTTTCTACACTAATTTTCCATATTCGCCTACATCAATATAGCCAGAGAAGTGTTGGGACTGTGAAAAAGTGAGCATCCATTTATGAGTTTAAAGAGGAAAAGCGAATGAAAATTCCAAAAATTGTCTACACTAATTTTCCATATTCGCCTACATCAATATAGCCGGAAAAGTGTTGGAACAGTGAAAAAACGAGCATCCATTTACGAGTTTAAAGAGGAAAAGCGAATGAAAATTCGGAAAATTTTCTACACTAATTTTCCATATTTGCCTACATGAATATAGCCGGAAAAGTGTAGGAACGGTGAAAAACCGATACTCTATCCACGAGATAAAAGAGGAAAAGCGAATGAAAATTCCAAAAATTTTCTACACTAATTTTCCATATTCGCCTACATCAATATAGCCGGAAAAGTGTTGGAACAGTGAAAAAACGAGCATCCATTTACGAGTCTAAAGAGGAAAAGCGAATGAAAATTCGGAAAATTTTCTACAATAATTCTCCATATTCACCTACATGAATATAGCCGGAAAAGTGTACGGTGAAAGTGAACGGTGAAAAACCGAGCATCCATTTATGAGTTTAAAGAGGAAAAGCGAATGAAAATTCGGAAAATTTTCTACACCCTATTCCCATTTCCACTTTTCTCTACATAGCCGAAAAGTGTTGGAAAGGTAAACACCTGACCCTTCACATTCATGAGATAAAAGATGAAAAGGGAATGAAAATTAGGAATATGTTAATCGGTAAACCAACGGTATTATCATAGAAAGTGTTCCCGGAAATTAAAAGAAAATAGAAAATGTTTTATACTAGTTTTTCTTTTAGTCTATTTCTAAACAGAAGAAAATCGTGTGTATTTGATTTTTTGATTACGATTACGCGATTATGATTACGTGATTACGATTACATTGATTTTGATTACGTGATTACACGATTGTAATCGTAATCAGGTTTATGATTACGATTGTAATCATGTAATCAGGTAATCGTTTCATACTTTTGCTATAATTATAGTGCTACTGTATCAAGTATAAAATTGATGTGGTCATAAAGTTTTATTTTCAGTTGTAATCATGCATTTTCTTATAAATCAGCATGTGTAATTTTTGCGTAGCAAACTACAATTAAATATCCCATAATTCTACTAATATTATTCCGATGTTTAATCCTCAATCTACTATTTTATTCCTTTACTGTTCTGATGTATGTTATAATATGTTCGATCGCAAGAACATCTGCAGAACTACTTCATTTCATATCGATAAGCAATTATGGTGATAATAGTAATACAATGTATACAAATATAAATACATTATTATTTGTTATGTTATTTATTTTCTTACCAATGACGCTTGTGATGATACGTTTACTATACTGCCTTGAATTTCATTGTCGATCATTGATTTGGCAACGACTTGGCTAATCAGAATAGGCGCTTTTACATTAACATCGAATGATCTATAAACAAAAAATATTAATAAATATTATGAATTGCATGCATTAATAAATATGTAATAATAGTAATATTAAAAACACATATGTGATCACAATAGTCCTACTGTATTTGTTTTTATTCACCAACGTTTCAGCCCTTGACCCATTTTCAAGAGAAGAAACGTTTAACAAATAAAACAATCATCACAGCCTAATTATACTTGCTAATTAATTAATTTAATTTTTTGCTTTACTTCACATACCTATTTTAATAATTAAAAATCATTATTAATTGGATTGCTCCTGTCATCATCATTTAATTAATCAAACGATAAAACCTTCTTTATAAGGTTATATTTATTTTAAAACCTAGTTGCATTGTCAACAATCCCAAATTAATTAAAATTTACATAATTAAAACTATCTTCATGTATTGCTAAACTATTAAATAAATATTGCATTAAAATAAACACAATCACAGCTCTATGATTAATTCATTCTTTTAAAAAAACATAATTGTTGACACTCAGTTTTATAACTCAATACACCATTTTCACATTTAAAATTAAACTATTCAAAAAATACATCTAAACAACTCATAATTTTTGCATTTCCATATATTTATAAATTAATTTTGCTTATTATTATTTTCGCATATTTCTGACCTATTTGTCCTGAATCCGCTAAGCAATTAAAAGTATAATTTATATTCTCTGTAACATACAAAGCATCTAGAATTTTTCTCTTGTTTTTTTTTTTTTTATTTTTGTAGAATTTGAACCTTCTCGAAATCTAATTTATGTTCTTTATTGAAAACATATGTACCAGTGCTGTTGTCTATGTGTGTGTTGTGCTATTGTCTCTTTTCATGTTACATCATTCTGTAGCTGGTACATTCAATCATTAATATATTGCTTTGTTCCTACGTATATTGCTGGACAATTTTTATTAAATCCTTCTCAATTTGTCAGTATACAAATTAGATAGAAGAAAGGTGTTTTTTTTATGGTTAAGGGTACACTTGACCACGTATAAATACTAAAGTTTTGTCCGTAAATGAAATGATTAGAGACAATTAGAAAAACAAAGAAAAATGTCACAACCAAGACCACCCCATGGACGGTTCTGACAGTGCTTGGGGTCGACAGTGACAGCCTAACAAACACTCTAATACTAGAGTTTACTTTAGAAAGTCACTTTTATTAAATTATATAGCAAAATAATCTGTGGACAATTTAATCACTTATAATTAAAGGTATAATCATTTCTGTAAGAATCAACTTTCCATCTTCCTCAAACGTTTTCTGGATATCTAAAGGCAAAAAAAAAATGTAATATCACAACCGTAGCCAACCCACGAACAGGAAGCAATATATTATTTACATGCTTTTGCAATAATCTTAATCCTCTGAGATCTTTAAAAATTTTAAGTTCGCTGTTAAATGGTACGGCCTTATCATGGTGCTGTAAAAAATAGATATGTAACTCAAACTGCTTTATAGCCTTTTTTTCCTCTTCTTTATAAAATCTAAAGAATGTTTTCATGTTTCATCAACAAAAGTTACTAATTACCTGTCAATACATTCAGGAGTTGCTTCGAGAAATGGCTGCAGTTCAACGAAGGCGGCGTTATTAACCAAACCATGGTAAGGGCCGTGACCCTCGACCAGACTGGTCATTTTTTCAGTATCAGTAATATCAACCGCAATGGTAGTAATATCAGGAACTTCTCCTTTTAACGAAGCCAAGTCATTTTCACTTTGACAGAGAGCAACTACAGATGCATCACACTCCAAAAGTTTTTTAGCCAAATATCTTCCAATCCCTAAAAATAATATTAAAAAAAAATTGCAAAAATACACATATTTATCTTAAAATCCGTTGACGATTTGTTAATCATAGTTAAAGATAGTTAGAAATTTATTACATAATACGCAACAAGATATGAAGGTATGAATGTTGTTTTGGATAACAGTGTCATAGTAGCAGTTAAACATTTTTGACCAGCAAAAATATAGCAGTTTTTAGAATTTTGGATCATTATAAAAATAATCTCAGATATTAAGTAATTAACACTGTAAGGAATTTTATTAGAACACTGTTATGCCAACAGATAAAATATTTCAGTAAAACGTGAAAAACAATAAATACCTTATTGCGAAGAGTAATTTGTGTCTTTACTGGCTAATTATTGGACTTGAAAGTTATGAAATATGTACGTAGATCAATTTTTTTGGGAGGGTTTTCATATCTTCATCCAATATGCACCTATCATGGTAGTGACAATTAGCAGATTTTTTGTTAGGTAGAAATTGGCATGATACACATGACGAAGAATAGTACCCAGCAGCACCCCTTCCCTGGTCTGTTTACATCCTTCAATCAGGAAAGGAGATCTCTCACCAGCTTTTCTCTTTTCAGTGGCCTCCTGAAATGCTCTCCAGCCGTGGTCAGGTCGTTGATAAGTCCATTGTGATGTCCGTGTACTTTAAGATGAAATGGAGATTAGAGAGTACATATGTGCTGGTCAATGGTTAGTGGTCTTAGGTCGGTATGTAAAGTTTTGTTGTTGACATACCAGGGGCTGAAGTTATTGCTTAAAATTTTAGATTGAAAATATTGCAGTTTTTGTAAATGAGTCTTTTTTGCTGAAGCTGAATTTATCTGTGAGGCGTATGCCCGAACGGGTTTGAGCAGGTAAATGTGTGTATTTAGTTTTTGTCTGATTTTGAATTAAATTTAAATCTTAAATTATTTTTAAGATTTTTTTCATCGTAACTAATATATCGTCGGTTTTTGCAAAAACTCATTAAGTAAAATTTCATAACCTTAAAGAATTATGACTTTGAAGAACTAATTATGACTTATTTGAAAATCTAATTTTGCAACCCCTCTTAACTTTTTTTCCATTTCGTTTTCATTGAAGTATGTTATATAGATAAATTTAAAGGTCATCGAGAAGAAGACTTTAACCGAATTCCATTGAAATTGGTAGATTCGCTACAGTCTATAGCAACATAGATTTTTCGGAAGCCATATTGAAAGAAAAAGGTGGATAGTAATGTCGATTTAGGAAGATCACTCTCGAGTGACCTCTGACTTTAAATCAAAATTAAAAAAAAAAAAATTGGTCTAATAGTTTCGGAGAAAATGCGCGGACGGCGAACGAACAAACAGATGTTTATTCGTTTTTCGAATTCTACGTATCCTGCAACGTACAACCTCAAATTTTGAGGCAAGTTTAAGTGTTTTAAGTTTTTTGGTCGATTTCAATGGTTCATTATTGAAAATAATAAACCAAAAACTAAGATGTGTGCTTTGGACCACAGTATAGAAGTGAAAACATCAACAAGGCAAGATTAATAATACGAAATATAAATTATAAATATAAATATAAATATAAATATAAATTAAGTGTTTCAACTGCCTCCCGCAGAGCTACATCCTACGCCCTGAAACGTCCTGCAAAGTGGTTCGAAACGTCGGCAAAAATTAAATAATTACTATCTATTTAATTTAGTATATATTTGACCGCACCCCCCGATTAACTCTTTCTCATGTAAATTATAAATATTAGCTCATTATAAAGAGGATGAAATGCTGAACATTTCCCTCGCTTATAGTATGAAGGTCCAATTTTTAGTTTTTGAGATATTTTAATTTATATGAAAAATACTCCAGTCGACTTTACCCGAGCGTTATACATCGGAAATCTGACAGCTCAATCTAATTCACTCTCCAGAAAGAAGTTCAATACACTGCTATAGAAGTTTTCACTTCAAAAATATTTTATATAATTTATGTTATATATTTTTGTCTTCGCTTAACTCGGATTCTTAGGGTATTATGTATCAATCGATTTCCTGTTTCGTGTCGAATAAAAAAAAATAAATTGTCGACTATATTAAATGTGTTATAACCTATCTTAAATTTCAAAAACTAAAAAGCGCTTCTAGCAAAGTAGGCCAAATATTTTTTTTTGAAATTTATATGTAAATCAAAAATTGCAAAATTTAATACATGATTTTCTTAGAGGATTTTTTATTTTCGATCGGTAACTAAAGCATTTATATCTTCTCAAAATTTTCTCCAAATTTAACGTTAATAACCATTGGAAAGATAAATTTCTACTCTTCCTACCCATATACCTATCGATAACTTTTTAATCATTCCTTTTTAAATTAGAAATTAAGAAAAACTTCAAAATCAATTCTTTTATATATATATATATATATATATATATATATATATATATATATATATATATATATATATAGTACTATTTATATATATCTATAGTTTTAATTTGTCGGTTTTGTACCATTCCGTGTAACATATAAAGCCCTAAATCCGTCACAATTTTTGTATGGATCAGTGGAGCCGTTCTAAAGTGATCTTAATTTTTGTTGTTGACAAAATTCCGAATGTTCCAGCCTTGGCAAATAATTCGTGAAGGCAATTTTAATTTTTCATTTGCTAGAAAAATTCGTATTTAACGGTTTTGAGGTGCAAAAAAAAAACTATTATCTACTTTGAATTTCCCTAAACAAATATTTACTTCCACATTGGTAGTTAGGTTGGTCCAAATTGTAGGTATCTGCCAAATATAATATTTTTTAAAAAACTGGTGATCTGGTATCTATAGTAAATATTATTTTAGGAGGAAACAAAGGCCTACATTAAAGGAAGCGCCTTTTAGTTTTTGTAATTCATGATATATTATAACTCATTTGATACTAAAGACATTATTTTTATCTTATTTTGCACAATAAGATAAAAATAACAAATAGAACAACAAATCGAATGATACATAATTCCTTAAAATACGAAGTGAAGTGAAGGAAAAAATAAATGACATACATTTCGTTTAAAATTAATTTAAAATATTTTTTCTTGACTCCTATGGCCCATTGAAACGAATTCCAGAATACGTGTCTTATATTTTTCGATGTGGTATCACCAAAAACAAACTGGTTAAAATGTATCATAGTAAAAGTGCATATAAAATGTTGTATGATTAAGTTCAGTTTCTTTCCAATTTAAATTTAAACTTTCCAAGACTGATATACTAGAGCCAAGTTTTAAGAAAATCTGGTAAGATTTAATTTTTTTTTTTCATATGAATTGAGATGGAATAACCCTACAGTGACTTTTAACGCCTTCATCAAGAAGCCTCAGAAGAGCTGTCCAAACTTTAAAATATTTTCTTTGATTATTGTTGAGCTGATAGAGTATTAAGTTCAAATTTGTATCAAAGTTTGCAACATTATTCAGATTTTGAACTTGATTTCGACCGTCATCATCAGGTGGCGAAGATTACAAGCTAATTGAAGAAGAAAACTCTCACATAACAGTTACTAAATTACTAACAGAAATATATCAACACAAATAAATCCACAGATAAAAAAAGTAACATATCCACTTCCACTTGTAGAATCAAATAAACTTATGATGACTTTTGTTGCAAAACAAATGTTTAAGGAACTACGCTGCGAATTTCGTCAGCATCCATCTTATTCTTAAGATGTATCCTCATCAGGTTTTTATCCTACTTTACTGGTAAGAAAATGATCAACAGGTCGAATTAGCGTATTCTATCTGACTTAAAATCTACTTAAAGGAACAATAATTTATATTTCAGCGGTTAAGATATTGGAGACTCATTCGGAAAGATGCTATTGAATATAAAAAAAGCCATCTTGTACTATTATGAATAAAATGTTTTTTAATTCATAAAGTTTTATGATCAAGTGAACTTAAGCTCGATAATTGAGTCATTGTAATAAGCGAGGGGATTGAAAACCGGTTTCTTTAATTTCTGTTGAAGTCATATGTTTTTTAACATGGTATTTTTGGAAACGGTCCTTTCCCATCATCAGGCCACTGGCCATAAAAACGAAAAGCAAATCTCAATGACCGGAGTTGAAATCAACATTTAACAGAATGTCGTGAGATTATTATGAATGGATCTGTTAAGACTAGGGACTTGCCTAAGGCTGTTGACCTAGTCCTGAGTTCGTGATGAACAAGAGCCGTAGTCATCCTGAATCCACCCATTCATCGCAGCACTGTCGTCGAGGCTTTAGGGAGAGTGTCTTGAGGAAGGCCGCTAATTAGGTCCATGAAGCAAGTCTCTTAGCTCGACAGTGACTGTGGCAGTCGGAGGTAACCCGGTGGTTTCTGGCCGACCCTATCGTAACTAAAGAGGATTTTATGGAATGTATTTTTTTGGCAATTGAAAGAAAAATCCTCTGTATTGTTTATTCGTAGTTATTAAATAATTTCTTGTGGTAAAGAGATTAAATAGACATTCTCCCAATAGTATATCTGTGTATGTATAATAAGACCGGAGTGGTAAAAGGCAAGGCAGTTTTCTTCTCATCTCCCAAACATTTGATAATCCCATAGTAGAAAATATTACATATAAAACACAATCCCAATACATCTGGAGCACCTGATAACCGAAGTTATGAATGATAAAATAGTTACGGGTTTTGGTACCGAAGGGGGCTCTGGCATTAATCTTCACCCTCTCTTCCTGGTCCGTGGGAAAACCACGTATAGCCAAAAAGGCGAGGAAGAGCAGAACAACATATTAAAAATATCTTTAAAGTAATAATTATACCGTCGGTTTGTGCACAAAGTCACTAAATACATTTTTGATATAGGTTAACTTTCAAGTATGTTTTTATAAATTTCGACTTATGTAGGGCCGAAGACCTACCTCTTCCCTAAAATTGAAAAATATTTATTTTTTCTTTAGTCTATATTTGTTTCCGTGAGTAATCTGAGCTATAATAAAATAAATCTATATAAATTATAACGAATATATTTTTTTCCTGTTGGCGTTATAGACCATGTAGATTTTTTCGCCGCGTTAACAAGCCTGCTCCATCTTTCCCTGTCTTGAGCTATTTCTTTCCATTTATCATCTCTATTGCATCTTTGTTGATTCTATCTGTCAATCTGCTTTTTGGCCTTCCACGTGGTCTTTTAGCTTCTATTGAAGTATTCATTATCACATAGAGGCTTCCAGATGGTTTGCTATGAGCTACATATCCCGCCTATCTTAATCTCCGTGCCTTCATATCATGGAATATTAATCGACCAGTTTCTGTAAGTAGTTCTTTATTGGTATTTCTTTTTCATCTATTAGTACTCTGATCCCAGATCGCTTCGGATATCGTGCGGAGCACTTTTTTCACATCCAGTCCAAGTCTCACATCCATATATTAGAACTGGTTTTATTATGATATAGGATTGTAAACGACTAACTTTTAGAATTTTCGGGATTTCAATACCTTTGAAAGAGAGAAGAAAGCTCTGTTTGCGCTAGTTATACGATGGTCTATTTTTGCCTCTTGGTCATTCATTGAGGTTGTTGTGGAGCCGAGGTATTTGAATTTTCCTACTCTCGGGAATGATTAGAATTATAACGAATATAAAGCTATTAAATCTAAGCAGGTATCAGGAGAAAATATTGTTACTTCAAATCTTCAAGAACTATTTAAACATCTTTTTATGCCGTTTCTTTTTCCATTTTTACTTCCAGAGTAATTACAATTTAAAAAAAAAAACACTTCTTAAAGAGAAATTTTTTTAAACCTCTAGCGCTCTACCGTTCAGATCACTGGTCCACATTTTTTAAAGTAAGAGTAAATAATGTAAGTTTCTATTTCAAAGCAAAAAATAAATCAGAGTGGATATTCCACACATATCCCTTAATCCACTAATACAAACATTACTAAATAAAGTCCACCAGGCGATGCAAACGATGTTTACACTAAAAAAAATAAAATTAATTGATATATAATGTTTTACCAAGATTATCAAGAGTATTAACATGGAACTATAAAAAAGATACGCCTAAAAAAAAAGTTGATACGAATCAGCTAACTTTCACTCATTTAATTTTAATTGTGGTATAAAAAATTCATCTTGGAAGAACTAAATTAGGCATTACTGGACACGTAACCTAGCTAGTGATTTATTACTGATCTACCATCACTAAACCGAATAAATTATAGATAAAGTGTGGGAGGGAGCAGTAGTGAATCCAGAATTAAATTTTGGATGGGGGCTTCAACCTGAAAGCTTTATATATACATACATAATTACTTGGGAAGAAAAATGAATAAACCTAAGATCTGTATGGCATAATGTTTAATTTATTGTTGGGATTCTATTTAAAATTTAATTATGCGAACAGTAATACATTTCCAGATATTTTTCAAATATTTATTTCATAGGACAGGGTCAGATTCAGTAGCTGTCGATTTATTAAAATTTGAAAAATGTAACATATTGTTATTGTTTAATTATTTAGCCTTGATCACTCACTGCAACAGTAATGGACCGATGACAAAAAAAAAACAGAAAAAAAACAATCAATTTTATGGAGGCTTTAATCCGAAACTCTTTCGAAATTGAAATAATTAAAAGTTCAAAAAACACCTTTAAATATAAGTAAGATTAATTTATTTATAGGGAATTTCCAAAAAAAGTACAATAAAAAAAAATGACTACTCTAGTGATGCCGTTACATGTATGTAGGTAGAAATTAGAGAGTAACAATATTTCTGCTTCTACAGAGGAGCAACATAGTTGTATTTGAATATATGAATACTGACTAGTGTTGTCCGATTGCGAGACCAAGACTAGTCTTGGTCTTGAACACTCAGTCTTGCTCTTGGTCATGGTCTTGGGCCAGAGTCTCACAATAGTCTTGCAGTTACCTATTAGCATATTTATACAGAAATATTACTGTAATTTTTGAGATGGTGGAAACTTAACCAAGTCTGAATGACTTGCCTACGGAATGAGCAACATCCATTATCTGCCCAATACATAAGAAAGGAGATCAAACAGAATGCGCTAACTATCGAGGAATCTCACTCCTTTCGTGTGCTTATAAGCTGCTCTCTAACATTCTTTTTGAGAGGATCCTCCCGTATTCTGAAAAGGAACTGGGGAAATATCAGGCTGGATTTCGACGAAGACGCTCAACCACTGATCAACTGTTCTCTCTGAGGATGATCCTAGAAACGACTATGGAGCGCAAGGTAGTCACCCACCATTTATTCCTGGACTTTAAAGCAGCATACGACAGCGTTGATGGAACACAACTATACTGTGCCTTGGAGGAGCTAAGCATCCCTCAGAAGCTCGTACGCCTAATCAAGATGACCATGGACAGCTCGAGATGTAGAATACGCGTCGGTTCTGATGCCTCCGAAGAGTTTAAAGTGAGCAGTGGGGTTCGGCAAGGGGATGCTCTCGCCTGTCTATTGTTCAACTTGGCAGAGGAGAAATCTGTAAGAGACTCCGGTATTCAGACCAGTGATATAATCTTCAATCGCCTGACACAGCTTCTTGGTTTTGCTGATGATATTGACATAATAGGTAGGTCTGAACGGGCTCTCAGAGAAGCGTTTATAGGCCTTGAAGCAGCTGCAAGACCACTTGGTCTAGAAGTCAACAAGAGGAAAACTAAGTATATGAGAGCTGGTGGTGAGGTGGATCTGAACTCTCCATTTGAGGTAGGTTCTTTTAAGTTTGAGAGAGTGAAAAGTTTTATATACCTTGGATCTGAAATTAATAGCAAAAACGACATGGCTCAAGAAATACAGAGAAGGATCACGGCTGCCAATAGACGTGTCTTTGGACTTGGCCGGCACTTAAGAAGTAGGTATCTCTCAAAGAAGACCAAGCTGATCATATACAAGACCCTTCTACGGCCTGTTTTGACATATGGCTCAGAGGCTTGGACGATGACTAAAAACGATGAGATGAAGCTGAGTGTGTTTGAGCGAGGAGTCCTCAGAAGGATTTATGGTCCAGTAAAGGAGGGTGATGTCTGGAGGAAAAGAAAAAATAGGGAGCTCAGTTCTCTTTATACAGACATCGACGTAGTCACGTATATTAAACTGGCCAGATTAAGGTGGGCAGGGCATGTGGCCAGAACGAGCACCGTTGAGATACCCAAGAAAATAATGATGGAGGAGCTGCACCTCGCAAGACGGGTAGGAAGGCCGAGGACGAGGTGGTTGGACAACGTGGCTTATGATGCGGAACTGGAGAGCTGCAGCAGAAGACAGAGCCAACTGGCGGAGGCTCTTGGAGGAGGCCCAGTCTCGGTAACGGGATGTCGTGCCACATATGATGATGATGACATATCTTCAAGACAGCATATCTATCTATACTTTTGTATGGAGCGGAGAGTTGGATATTAATTGACCGACAAGAGAGCAGAATCGCCGCTTCCGAAATGAAATTTCAGCAAAGGACGATTGGAAAAAAACAAGGAGAGACTGGATTCGCAATGAAAGTATTCGTCAGGAATTGCAGATAACCCCATTGGCACAGCTCCCTGAAACTCGTCAGCTAAAGTGGTTCAGCCATATTATCAGGATGAATGACTACAGAGATCCTCTAAAGACAATGGAATATGTCTCAGATGGCAGAAGACCTAGGGGCCGGCCCTAGGATGTCCTACTCGACTATATAGAGCGACCATGTAGGGCGAAGGGGAAGGACCTCCGATAAGCGAGTAACCTAGCTAGAAATAGGGAAGAATGGAATTACTGGCTGAATGGCTGAAGAGGGAAGCTAAAGAAGAAGAAGAAATTAATGATTAATACTATTCAGTTGGTTAAGGATACAGAAAAAATGATTCTTTTAAAAAACGTGAATTTTTTTATCGGTTAACTAAAATATTAAAAAAGTGCTGTTTGTTGTAATTACATTTTACCTATTAGTAGAATTTAAAATAACCTCCTAAGTGAAGCAGATAAAGTAAAAATAAAACGAAACATTATGGACTGCAATGTTGCATAAATTTTAAATATGCTCGTTATCATTAACACACAATATTACTAAAACGTGTCCGCCATCAAAATAAATCATCGAATTTAATATATTTTTCAAATTCAGTTAAGATATTATAAATTTATTATCAACTGTTAGTTTGTTATAATTACTTTCCAATTATGTATAAAATGTAAAGTAACCTCTAAAGTCTTTTTTTATTGTTTTATTGAGTATTAATACAGTCTGTC